AACATAGTGAAAATACACAAGTGGTCCTCTTAGAGACTTCAGGTGATGTCATATCATGCCAAAACCCCAAGGACAGGCCAGTAAAGATGGCTAAATATTAATAGCTGTCATTCCTAAGTTTCCTTTACATTTGGCCTGAGGTTATGTTTGGAAAATTTAAATAGGGATGAAAACTGCAACTCTAACCATTTAGGCTGATGGAGAATTACAGAGAAAAACTATGTTTCAGATTATACATTGTGATTCAAGTATATCATAAAATATGATGTATTATAATTATAATGTATGCTGTAAAAGATACATTTAAAAGATATGTCAATAACACAATCCTCACATATAAAACCACATAGAACACAAATATGGAAAAAAAACTGGAAACAGACATGACTGTAAATGACATTCTTTTATTTTTTTTTCCGAGACATGGTTTCCCTGTAGCTTTGGAGGCTGTCCTGGAACAAGCTCTTGTAGACCAGGCTAGTCTAGAACTCACAGAGATCTGCTTGCCTCTGCCTCCTAAGTGCTGGAATTAAAGGCATGCACCACCAATGCCTGGCGTAAATGACGTTCTTAAATGAATAGCTATTCTGAGCAATTCCTTCCTCAGAATAAGTCTTTCTTTTCTTCTGAGCAAGGTTGTTCAGAGGAAGGCCACAGCTGCATCAATGAAGAACCAGAAAGACTTTATTTTAACTAATCATGACTGGTGTCTGTCTCAAGGCAGACAATAGTATTTTACTTTCAAGCTTTATTTCACGTATATGTGAAATTTATTTGGATGTGGGCAATACCTACATAGGCCAGAAGAGGGAATAAGTTCACTTGGAGCTGAAGTTACAGGAAATGGATAGCAACCATGGTTTCTAGCAATATAACCTCTTTCTAATGCACCAATACCTAGTGCTCTTAATTGCAAACCTGACTCTCTAGTCACATTTTTATTTATCATTATTTTTATACATTTTACTTAAAATATACTGCATCACATTCCCTTTGTTTTTTTCCAGTTTTTTCACTTCTTTCTGTTAAGTATGTGTGAATTAAGTTTGTACAAATATTTGAATAGAGTCCAATGACATCATTCTCTTGGATATAAAACTAGACAAATGATTCCTACCTGATACTATATGGAACAGTGATGAAGACAAAAGGTAATTAATCCATCCTTGGGTCCTAACAGGTTTGGCTAGAAGGCAAAATATCTGCACAGATAAGCAATATAACCAATCTGTATATTAAAAGATTCCCATCTCTAAAAGTCTCCCCAAACCTCAGGTCCTGTCCCTCCAGTAAGATGGCCAGATAAGTCATAAATGTTGCTTCATTAGACAGATTCTCATCTGGAGGAATCAGTCTTTTCCCACAAAGAAATTCCCATGGAATTTAGAATTTCATGGTGTTTACTGTTCACTAGACGATAGCCAAATGAAGCAATATAAATGTCAGTTAGAATACCCTTATTCCAGTTAGATAGCCAGGTACCAGGGATTGCTAGCATGGAGATTGTGGGGCATTATGGTCCCAGTAGGGACTGTAGGGTACTGTCACTAACAGCTAAATGAGCTGCCAAAAGTGAAATAGTGGAAGTACTGGAGGGTGCTGACCTACCACAGCTGAGTAGAAACATTACAGTTTATGCCAGCCTGTGAATAGTTGCAACTAAAGATAGCTCTTGGGCATTTGATTGTTGTACTTTCAAACCCTAGGATATTTCCCTAAAAATTCTTCCAATCTCCACAGCTCTTTGTAAATACCTTATTTTCTAAGCCTTAGAGTGACTTCAAGTCTCAGGGTCTCCTCACAATCTCGATGTTCTATAGCCACTACCATTCCCAGTTCCAACCCGAATGTTTTGCAGGCACCAGAGAAGCAGAATATGAGCCCATTCAGACAAGTTAGACTTCATGCCTGCAAGTTCCTATTCTGTCCTCACAGTAGGTATAAAGTCAAGAAGGTGTACATCTGACACATGAGCTTATGAGCACCAATTGATGTCTATTTACCACACGGGAGTCAAATTTACTCTTGTGGTTTTGTTTAGTCAACCATCCTTTAAAGACTTTTCTTGTCATCACCCATGATAGTTTATTTTGTACTTTTCCTTCATTTTGTGAAGATTTGGGCATGGAAATTTACATAAGCACCAAGTCTAAGTTAGTTTATGATGCAATCCATCATATATTTATACTGAGGCATCTGGGCTGATATAAAGGGGAAGTTAGGTGAGCCAATAACACGTATTGTTATGAATGGCATATTTATGTGGATGAATAGAAGACTCAGCCCTTAGAACACTGGCTGCTCATTCACATGGACTAGTGCTGATTCCCAGTATCAACATCTCTACTAGATAAAAGAAAACACTCTTTGAATACACACATGAGGAATTTAATGTTTCTTATATTTTATTCTCTTCAGCAGTTTAACATTAACATTGATAATTATGTTGAGAAACAGCACATATTGGTAGTATATACCCATTATAATTGATAATGTTAAGAAATGTTGAGAAAACAGCACATATTGGGAGTATATAATCTACTCAAGCAGCAGATGAATGAGGATCATGAGTTCAAATTATACCTCATCATTTCTGACATCCAAGCCAGGCTGAATAATAAACAAGAAAATCTGAAGGGTATTTGGGAAAACATGAAAAACATAACCAGGAACAACAAATAAATACATTTTCAGAGAAATCCTTCTTTGAAAAGTGTGATCACACACTGTCTGATATTAAAAACAGAAACAAAAACAAAACAATGGACCACTTAGATGATGGGGTAAAATTCTACACATTGCAACAGCAAAATAACCATATCTAAGTACAAAATCAACAAAAGCCACAGAAGGTATATGAGGAAAACAAAATAAACTTCACTAAATGGATTTCCCACAAATATAGGACTTTTTGACATGCACCTCAACTATTTCAAAATAGAACTCACAATGCAGTGACCTCCAACGTCAGTTCCCATTCTCTGCCTTATTCCATAGTAAGGATATGAGGTCTTAGACCCCTGTTTTAGGTGCCATGCAAATTTTCATGATGCTCCTGTATCCCTCTGGAAACAAGGGCCAAATTAAATCATTTATATGGTGGCATAGATATTATAACAAACAGAAGAGAAAAATAATACAAATCCATATTTTTTAGCCTGAATTAGTTACTTCATACACTTAAAGAGAAGCATAAATCTAAAAGTGATACACTATCATTTAAAATCAAGGTTCAAGTGTTAATAGCAATGAAGGATAGTTACAACAACTATCATAAGTGAGCCTGTACCTATATCTGTGAAGGGAATATATCCTGGATACCTGAAGCTCTGAAGAGAAAGGTATTCTGACTATTGGGAAGTCATGATATACCTGAATCTTTGGAGGGAATGTATCCTGGATAGCTAGTTCTCGGAACAAAATTGCCAACTGTCACAAATCAGTCTATACCTACAACTGTGAAAGAAGATGGCCTGGATACATGAAGAGAAAGGTATCCTGACTTTTGCGAAACCATGCTACTATGGAATCTTTAGAGACAATGTATCCAGGATACCAAGGGCTCCGAAGAAAAATCTATCCTGAGTGTCCAATGTCAGGCTACAGAAGAAGCTGTGAAGACATCCTGGAAACCCACAGCTGTGAGGAAAAATGATACCCTGACTGTCAAGAAGTTAGGCTATACATGAAGCTGTTCCAGTGGGGGATGGTCTCTGAGCACGTTGTAGCTCTCCAGCTACTCTCAGAGACAGAGCCATTAAAATGAGATTTTCTCCACTCTGATAAGAGAGTTTACCTGCGTAAGTGTCCATTGCTTCTCTTCTCTTCTCCACTAGGGAGATTCCAAGCAACGATACCCATTTCTATTATCTCCAGCCCAAATTGTCACTTTTCTGTTTCACTCATCTATCAGGGAAACAGTTCCAGAAAGGTAGCAGTCCGCTGCAGCAACAGTGAAAACGTTTTTCTCCTGCTCTGCGTCTCTAAGGGAGTATCCCAACAGAGGTGTATGTTGCTTCTCTGCTCTACTCCACTAGAGAGTTTTATTTCCACTCTGGCAAAAGAAGGTCTTCAGTGAAACTTCGTGAACAGAATTATTTGGGAGGGAGCAATCTAGGAAAATGGCAGCCACTACGAGTGTGGAAATGATAGCTGCCAACTGAACAAGCATAGGGTTAATATCCGTATTCTTAGGGGCAGAGGCTTTTCAGCGAGAATTTTTTCAGCATGTAAATTGGTAAAATTTCTCTCACTGAGATTGAAAATCCTTAAAAATTTACGTGATTCCTGCTTGGAGATTGGTTGGTTTTGTGCTCCGGTATTGGTTGGATTTTTTCTCAGCTGGTCAGGTATTGAGTTGGTTCCTTTGCCTTTGGTTTCAGGGCCAAAGTCTCTTTCATTCACTGGCCCCTTTTAACCATTTTGCTCTTATTTCAGGGTGTGTTTCTTAGGCTGCAGTTTCAGGGACAAATTCTGTTTCTTTCACTGGCCCCTTTTAACCATGTTGCTCTTATTTCAGGGTGTGTTTCTTAGGCTGCAGTTTCAGGGACAAATTCTTTTTCTTTCACTGGATCTGGTTCCTGGGTCAGGGTGTGTTTATTTGCTGGCCCTTTAACACTACATATAAGTCTCCATGAATTTATAAATTCATTTATTCCATGAGTGTGCTGGAACAACAATATAAAAATGGATATCATAATGCTTGCAGAATGTTCACTGTGAAACTTCTTCTACAAAATAATCAGTATTGTATAACTGATTGGAAGTGTGATGGGTAAATATCCCATCAAATACTCGGTTAGAAGAAGCCCTCATTATCTTTATCAGAAACTGAAAAGTGATTGTAACTACTTGATACATGGATTTTCCACGAAGTTTTACACTTGTATAAGGTGTAATATTAAACTAACCGGACTGCATTTATAGTTTCACTGTTGAATCATATTTGTAATGATTTAAGAAACTCCTGATACACACAAAAGCTTTCCATACTGATTAAATTAAAGTGGTTTGTTTCCAGCATGTGTTCTCTTATGTGCTCGAAGAATACTTTGACTTGCAAAAGCCTTTCCACACTGATCACATTCATAGGGTTTCTTTCCAGTATGTGTCCTTTTATGCCTTTGAAGATGACTGTGCTGAACAAAGGCTTTATCACAGTGATTGCATTCATAGGGTTTCTCTCCAATATGTGTTCTTTTATGTATTTGAAGATGACTGTGCCGACCAAAGGCTTTACCACAGTGATTGCATTCATAGGGTTTCTCTCCAGTATGTGTTCTTTTATGCATTTGAAGATGACTGTGACACCTGAAGGCTTTACCACAGTGAGTACATTCATAGGGTTTCTCTCCAGTATGTGTTCTTTCATGCATACAAAGTGAATTGGAATAAGCAAAGGCCTTACCACACTGGTTACATTCATAGGGTTTCTCGCCAGTATGTGTTATTTTATGCCTTTGAAGATGACTGTGCTGAGAAAAAGCTTTACCACACTGATTACATTCATAGGGTTTCTCTCCAGTATGTGATCTTTTATGCATTTGAAGATTACTGCGACGAGAAAAGGCTTTACCACACTGATTACATTCATAGGGTTTCTCGCCAGTATGTGTTATTTTATGCATTTGAAGATTACTTCGACCAGAAAAGGCTTTCCCACACTGATTACATTCATAGGGTTTCTCACCAGTATGTGTTCTTTTATGGATTTGAAGACTGTCATGAACTCTAAAGGCTTTACCACACTGAGTACATTCATAGGGTTTATCTCCAGTATGTGTTCTTTTATGTCTTTGAAGATGACTGTGACTCATGTAGGCTTTAGCACACTGAGTACATTTGTAGGGTTTCTCACCAGTATGTGTTCTTTTATGCACACATAGTGCACTGGAATAAGCAAAGGCTTTACCACACTGATAACATTCATAGGGTTTTTTTCCAGTATGTAATATTTTAGGTATTTGAAGGTGACTGTGATGAGAAAAGGCTTCATAATATTGGTTACACTCATAAGGTTTCTCTCTTTTATGCCTTTGAAGATGACTGTTATAGGTGAAGGCATTAACACACTGTTTATATTCAGAAGACATCTCTCCACTTTGGCTTCTTCCATGACTGCAAGGAAAATGAGCATATGTAAATGCTTTACCATATTCAATGCTATGTTGAATTTTGAAACTTGTATCAATTAGTATTACAATCTTCTTTAATTACAAAGAAGAATCAGATCTTACAATCTTATCACTGTGTTTACACTCAAGTTTTCCACCTCTATAAGGGTTTTATTTGCATCTTTGAAGATACTTGTGAAAGTATAACCCTTTATTATACGGTTCTCATTTTCAGTTCCTTTTTCTAGAGATTTTTCACATACTGACAAGAATTACTAAAATTCAGAGCTTTATCACCCTTATTATACATTTCAATTTCCTACATTTTGAGTCATAAAACATTTACTAATGAACTAGAACACACAGAAGTATTTACACAGTCATTGAGTCATAGGGATTTTGTGAAGAGTGAGCTTGTTGTTGTATTGTCAGTGAAGCTGCAGAACAAATTACTTGTACACATGAATAAAATTCAACAAGTGTGTTCAAATGGGGACTACTACATGACTTTTAAATGTTCTGCGAGAGAGATATACCATGTTCTCCATATCCCTTTGCTGACATGGCTTGTATACTAATACATGATATACCTACCTAATAAAATAAAAATTACAAAGAAGAGGCATCATAATTTAATTTAGTTTGACTTTCTCTTCCTTATAGTCATGTTCTAGAGGTATTAAGTTTTCCCTGCAATGTATGCCCCTTGACTCTTGACAATAATTATAATTGCTGCTGTCACTAAACTTACAAAAGTAACAGCAAGCACTTGAGTAACATTGGTTTTTCCAAGGAGTATTTGCTTAATGGAAAATTTGAAGATATGGTCATCACCTCAACCATGTGCATACATTTAATAATATGGGTAATATGAAATAAATGGAATTACAATTCTATAGCATAGCTTTCATGTTGTGATGATTAGAGTGGTAATTTCTCTCAATGCATTGTTTCCTTGACTTCATTCTGAAAATAATGTCTTGCAAATGCAGTTTACCTACCTGAACCTGAGGTATATGGTTTTGTGAGAATTTAATAATCATCAATGCAATTTAAACTGTGCTTGTTTACACTGCTGTTTCTGTTTCAGACTTCCAGGAAAGATTACAAAGTCTTCAGAAGCACATTTCTATCGGCTCATAGATGAAAATTACCTTTGATGTCTTTTAGAA